GACTGAGAAATCCGAAATTCAGAAATTTTACTAGAAGATAATAAACTGAATGGATGATACTTAATTGCGAATTAGTACACGCGTCATGTTTTATAATTGTATTGTATATTCAGTAGGAAATATTTTAGCTGATCAATCACGCAACGAACAATGCATTATTTATTGGGTACATTTGGTGCGAGCTAAGTATTATAATAATATAAATAAATATTTCCCTATATCGTTAAACCTTGCTAATCGTCAATTAACACTTTTCGCTTTTCCTGCAAAGTAAAATATTGTAAAACGGGAAAATCGGATTTGTCCCACGGGGTGTGACAAAAATGCATAGGGGTTGAAGGGAAAGCGGGAGGCCGGAGTGGCCGGTAAGGTGCAACAGCATCGTCTGTAACAATAATGTATATCGTTCGGAACGCGAGAGCAGGCGAAGAGGGGGAGTAAATCGGAATTTATCCCGAATGCGGGCGCGCGCGGCCGCGACCGTATCTCGTCGGACTCACCCCCTGTGGCCACTCGACGCGTCCGCCGGTGTTTACCGCAATTATTAAATGTAAACTCATATTTCGTAATTGCCAAATATTGGCGGTCCGATCGTTCGGCCGCGGCCCGATGCGCCTCACACGGGGCTAGTTGCAAGAGGCGTCGGCGAGAGGGTGGAAAGCAGAGGGGGGAGGGAACCAGGGCCGGGCGAGAGGGGCACTGTTGCTCGCACCGCGTTTCATCCCTTCTCGAATAACAATCCTTCTCCCCCTCCCTCCCCTCTCCGCGACCCTCGAAATGAATTAAGCCTCGGCGAATCGATAAATGAACGTTGCAGGGGTACGCGCGACACGCACCCGAAAAATCTACATCAGACGTAAACGGATTGTTTGATCCATTCGATATATGACGCTTCTAATAAATCGCCGCGTTATTGCACATACGATGTACAGCGAAGAGAATCAGAATATCATGAGGTGATATATTATAGCAGTCTCGTGTGGCTAGATGCGTTATCTCGCTTGTACGCATTTCGCTCGAAGAAGCTTAATATGTACAACTCATATAATAAAACAACGATGTATAACAAAAATAGTGTATCATTTTTATCGAGGTTTAAAAAAATTCATGTCTTCTTAATTTATGATATTATTATTATACACGCTTAGAATCAAGTTATTCGTAAAAAATGTCGAATATACAAAATCGGAAAACTTAGGGCGAGATATTAAAGTACGATTTAAAAAAAAAAAAAAAAAAAGACGACTCTCGGATAACGATCGAGTTGAGAGGAGAGTGAAAAGGGAGTACTCCGGCGATACCGTAGAGGGTTGTCAACGAGAGAGCGGCGTCAGCTTGTGTAACTATCGGTAATTAATCAGAATCATCCCCGCATATCGTGTCCGTCGGATGAGAACGGGCGAAGGCGCTCCGGCGTGGTGGTGCGAGATGGTGGCGGCGGCGATGGTGATGGTGGTGGTGGTGGTGGTGGTGGTGGTGATGCTCGCCACGAGAGGGTAGTTAACCGGTGACGTCACGCCCGTGGCGACATCTGGACCGGCACTAACCGCGCCGAGCGGCGTTGTCCGTCCGGCGTGGTGGACATTGGACACCGAACACTGTCCCGGCACTAACTCCCGGATCCGGATCAAAATTACCCTGCGCGTCCGCCGCGGTGAGGCCGCACGCCGGCTGGCTTCAATTAATTTCGCATTCGGCACGTTCTGCGTTTTGGCTCTCCCGCCGGTCGCGCGGACCCATCGCGACATGACGGCCACTTCGGGATAAACCCCCCCCGAGTTTTGAATAAGAGAGAATCTCCCATTTAAGTCAT